GGACCGATCCATGCGGCACTCCACAGATGAGAGGCCTCGAGGTCGACCTCTGCCCCCCTTATGGTTAGAATTATTTATTTATTAAACAAATGTATATAGCCACTGAGGTCACACATAGATGATGCTGGGTATCTTATAACATTAAAAAATCCACCTTGTATTAAAAACCCATATGAAAAATCATCCCCCCAACCCCCATGGCAGCAATAAGACAATCAAATCAGCCACTTGATCAGCTCCATCTCCATTTGTGGTCTCCTCCTGCTAATAAAACAACATTTTGGGGGGCTTTCGGAAGAGCAACAGGGTGGGGGTCAAGAAGGGGCCACCACTCAGAAGAATGTGGCAGCTTGAATGTTGGGTACTTCCTGACAGGAGCATATGATTCCTGTTTGAAAAAGTTTCAAGTTAAATTCTATATATATTCCTAAACAGCTTGGAACCTGTCTGTATGTGAATAGGCTTCTATTTCATAAGCTAAGAATTCTTGTTGTCTTTAAAGAGTTTATTGCAGGTACAAAAGGTGAAGACTTCTCCATGGTGCCATCAGCTGTTTCCAGTTCTGACTGCCTCCTTTCCTGTGTTTTAAGAAAAGGCTAAAGCCTCATCTCTATATTCAACCATTCTTATCTACAGTAGTCATTTGTTTTACTCTTATTTCTACAGTATTATGTTTGAAGCTATATCTCCTTGTGTTTGGAAGCATTGTAGTTTAGAGATTTAGGTTGCATTTTGATTTAAAAACAAAAGCTAAGTTTCTGGAATTCTGTGAACAATATTTTTGATCTCTTGCTAAGTTTGCAGGCTGCCTGATTGGGACAGGCGGATTAGACATATGATAAGTGGCAGTGCTGCTTATTGCTGATGCAGGATGGTTTCCACCCCTCAGTGCTAATGTAAATTAATATGGAAATAACAATAAAAAGGATTTGCGTCTGAGTTATTTTTGGAAGACAACTGATGGTACCTCATTGTGTATTTTAATTTTATTGCCCAGGAAAAAAAAGACATGGCAAAATAGAAGAAATGTATACTTTCTTGGGAACAAAACAAGCTTTTTTTTTTTTTTTTTTTTTAGTAAAACCCAGTTTTATGAGGGCCCTGTACAATTGACACCTGTGGTATAAAGAAATCCAAATGATGCAGCTTATTTAGCTTCTAGATGCAACAATGTGGAACCATAAACTTCATATTATCAATCTTTAAAAGACCCTATTTATGAAGTGGGCAAAAAGATGACAATGCTCTTTATTTTTATTAATTAGAATTTTAACCCACATTTATTACTTTATAAATAATTTAAGATGGTGAAGATTCCTAATATTTCTCCCTATTTTCCCCAGAACCACCACCCACCCTGTGAGGTGAGTTGGGCTGAGGGTGATTGGCCAACAGTCACCAGCCGGCTCTTATACCTGGGATGGGACTAGAATCCTCAGTCTCCAAGTTTAGGGTTGCCAGGTCTGCTTCCAAAAAATAGTGGACAGGGGGGGGGGGGGGGGGGGTTAAGTAGTAAAAAAATAAATTTTTTACAATTAAATTATATATTTTCTTACATTTTAACACGTATTAAAATAATCACTTCAAAACTTTACTTAAAATTCAAAACATCAAATATATTATAATAATATGTAAAATATTAAATTACATTTTACTTTGCTGTCGTGTGTATTTTTTATTTGACTGCGCAGCTTTGATCAATTCTTTGTGTTTAAGGAATAATTCTTTAATTTCAGTACAATGTTGAGAAATATTAAAAAATATACAAAGTTCACTTCGAACTGATGGTACAAGCAGTTGGTTACATTCGTCAGTCCACAAATTTCCCATGACGCTGAAAATTCGTTCAACGTTTGCATTTGATACCGGAATTGATGCACAGTACTGGAACAGTTTCAGTAAACTCGGAGCTGGCTCTTTCTTGAAAAAGTACGTCCACTTATCAAGGGATGAATCGCCCTGCAGATTAACATAAACTACTTCTAAGGCAGAAATTTCATCGAAGAGAGTGTTGGGTGAAAGTTCTTCTCGCCATGGTGATAATAACCAGATGTTCGTCATTTCTTCTAAAGTTGGAGGATTATTGCGATCAATTAGATTGAAACAACTTAGCGTCTCATATACTGAATCGGTGAAATTATACCACTTTTCTAGGTACGCAGTGGCTCTTTGATACACGTTGATGGCTTCTTTCTTGAACTTTTGCATGGCATTCTCAGGCAAATGTTTTTTACATAAGGCAAATAAAACTTTCATTCCAAAAAACTGCTCATCGTATTTTTTTTTGCAAAGAATCACGCAGCTTACACATAATAATGTGAAGATCACATGCAAGAATTTTCTTACTTTCCAGCTTCAGTAAGGTGTCTTGCATTATTGACATGAAGAAGTGCGTGAAATAGAAATACAATTCTGAAATCGTTGGTTTATCGTCCTTTGCGAGTTCATTTTCCTGATCCGAAATAAGGTTCCAGATAACCTTATGGCACTCATCAGATCCAAGAGAAATAAAATACGATTTTAGAGTTATCCAGTTTAAAAGAAGTCTTTTGACCGCTTTAAACAAACTTAACCAACATGTTGGAACATGGCACAAAACTTCATGGAATTCTGACTTGCAAAACTCAAAAAAATGATTTCAACTCATCTCGTTTCTTCGCAGAATTCGAAAATTCGGCAAAAACCTTCAGCACTACATTTTCGATATCAAAAGATAACTGCTTTAATGCATTTTTTGCGCTATTGTGTAAAATGTGATTATTGCAATGAGCAGCTACAATATTGTCATTTTCCAGCAATAATTTTTGGTAAACAGATTTGTTCACTCCATAATTGACCGATGCATTATCTGCTGAGTAAGCTGAAACATTATTTATTTCCAATTCGTTATCACTAAGAACTCGACACAGCTGATTTTTTTTTGATGTAGAATCTTCGAAAGAATCCTCATAAAAGTCTAAAATTTTCACACACAGGCCTTCTTCACAAGTAAAATATTGTGCAACAACGGGATACATTTTGTGATTTCCCTTGTTTGATGCGTCAGTGGAGAGAGAAAATGGAATTCCAGTTTTAAAATCATTGAGAACCAACTCAATAGAAAAAGGATACAAAACCTCATTGACAATAGCTGATGATTTGGTTCTTCCACAAGACATCTTTTTTACAATTTCTGAATCATCAAAAATTTGCTTCATTAACTTAATACCGCAATCTTGAGCCAGGAAAGAAATATGGTGTTTGATCCCATGGTAAGTTTCAGCCATTTTAGCTACAGTCACTTTCTCACTGAAAGAGGAGTCTTTAACAATGAAAAACGAATTGATTCGCTTGTTGCTGGAAGCTATTTTGCTGTGTGACCATTATATTCAATTATATTTATACCATTATATTCAATTGTGAACGATTTCTGACACAATTTACAGTAGGCCGTCGTATTTGTTCTGTCAGTTTCGTTGTTGGTAATCCATGCAAAAGTAGCTTCCCAGTCTTTGGTGTATTTGCACACTCCTCTCTTTCGTTTTAAAGAATTCGAAATCTCGCCGCTGTCAATCTCATCACTCGACGCCATTTTAGGTCAGTCGACACAAGCTACAATACATTTTAAAAATGTGAACTGTACATAATTTTATAATATATTTTTATTTTAATCTCATTAATTTTTTCGGAGAATCGAGTTCAATGGATATTCGATCTTTGTCTCATTCTAACTTATGAAAAAAAAAGACAAAATGCGATTCTCCTATCCTTATTCTCTTAGACTGTACAGCTTTAGATTACGTACCATTTCATCATAAAGCTTTTGAATAAAAAAAAGTCCACTATTTTGTGAAAAAATATAGCGAACATAATGTGAAAAAAGTGGACTGTCCGCTCAAATAGCAGACACCTGGCAACTCTATAAATCTGATGCTTTAAATCACTAGACCAAACTATCATATATTATCATTATCTTAGCATAATTCCCCACAGGTGCAGGGTCTGCTTTTTGGATCAGTGAATACTATTTTGCACAATCAAATACAGCATCCAAGTTATGTCTGCATTTTGGCTGTAGACCCATGGACTGCGACAAAATAATTGACCAACTGGCTTGTGGCCTGGGCCTAATGTTGATTTATTTCTATAGTCCAGAGTTCATTTATTAAACTTATATACTGGCCAGCTACCTGTTGGCACTACTCTAGAATTACACAGTAAATTATCTTGATTATTGTTGGGCCATTTACCAATTAGCAATTCTTGTAAGAGTAAAATAAAAAACCAAAAACACCTCCCGTTCAGCAACTTTTAAGGCACAAAACTCTCGATTGCTTATATTCGTCTTAAGAAAATACTGTCCCTTAAGTGTCTATGGAGACTACCTTCCCTATCTAGGATTGGAAGCATCACTGGAAAAAGAGGCCGTCAGAAAACTTTAAGCTCTCTATAAATAACACGGACAGGTTGTGGTCTAAGCCAACAGAACTGCTTAAACACTCAAATTTAGCGCCCCGCCTGTGTAAGAAGGCGGACTGAGTGGCGGTTCAGGGTGGGGATGCCTCAGAAGGCTTCCATTGGAATTAATGCTTTTACTCAGAGGGCCACAGAAAGTTGTGGAAAACGAGGTGAAAATGCCAAAGTTGTTTTTAGTGCCAACGGGAGGGGTTTGCACAGCTTTTTTTGGGGGGGGGAGGAAGCAGCCTCCTTTGCTGAGAGAAAGAGAAACCAGCCAGGACAACCTGGACCGGACTCAAAAGCTGACACGATAGCTGCAGCAGCCGCCTTACTCCGCGCAGCCCAGCTGTACAATAGAGAGCAATTAGGCGGGTCACGTGGGCATCGAGGAATGCGATGCATGCGTGTACGGGGGTGGAAGGGAAAGATCTGGAGCGGCGGCGGCGGCGGCGGCGCAGCTCTGCTCCTCACAGCGCCCTATGCCTCTGCAAAAGCGGGAGCAGCCGCTGGAGTGGCAGTCGGGAGAGCCAACCGGAGGGGGCGATTCCTCCCCGGTTTCCTCCAATCATGCTCGAGGTCTCAGCGACATCCTCGGCTCGGCAGGGTATCCTGCGTGCGTGTGCGGGAGAAATGCTGACCGCCTGCGTGTTTCGGAGGGGACCTCAGCATCGGTGAAGCCGGAGGAGTGGAGGGGTGGTGGTGGTGGCAGTGCCTGGAGGCTGCAAAGGTGACCAAAGCGATGCCGGACAGGGTTGGCTTTCGGCCGAGGGGTTGAGTGCTCGCTTTAGGGCATCCTCAAAGGCGAGGGTTCGGCGCGACCGGGACAGAGACGGGCTTTTGCGGAGGAGAAAGTTGAGGCGCGCGTGGAGATGGGCTCCCGAGTGGGAGGGGGGGAGCTTGAACTGCCCCCCCACCTTTTCCCTCCGTTCACCCTTTGCAGGCAGATGCCCAAGGAAGCTTTCTGCGGCTGCTTGGCTCAGGGGTGGAGGGAGTGGCGGGGGTGGGGGGGGGGAGAGAAGTTTTAACTTGTTGTTCCCTATGGGGAGCCCCACCGAGTACGTCCCTTTCGTTTCCCTCCCCCGATGGAGCCGAGGTTTATCCACAGCGGGTATGTGGGGTGTGTGTCTGTCTATGTGTATGTATGCAGCCTCTTGGATCCAGCAAACTGATGGTGTCACCGTGAAAAAATTCATATATAGGCATAAGCTATAGATGCCAAAAACTGTTAAAAAAGAGTTTTCTGTGGAATGGTTTTGCTCAGCAAGACTTTTTGGAAAAGAGTGTTGGGAGGATCTCCTTTAAAAAAAAAAAAAGTAAATCTGCAGGGAGAGGGGAGGTGTGTTTTTTTTTTCTTTCCCCAACATAAATGCTTAATGTGTTGCCCTTTAAATAAATGTATCTAATTAAATCTGCGGGTTTGCGTTCGGTCTAGAGTTATTTGTGCTCAGCATTTCTCTCTCTGCATGTGCGCGGGATGATGTTGTTCCAGGGTTGGGCATGTTTTTAAGAATAAAGTAATTTAACTGTATGGAATTGAGTTCTGGACAGTCTGTAGGCATTTCTTTATTTATAACGTTGATGTCTGCGGCTGCCCGCTTCGCAGTGATTGGGGTCAGCAGTGCAGCTTTCCAAAGTGTAAAAGTTCCTTTGGAAAGATGGTGGTGATGCCAAGTGTACATCCTGATTCCTCCTTAATCATCCCCAGTGTCTATTGCAAAAGAGGAGCTCACTAGGGGTGTGGCAAAAGTGATGGAGTCTGCACAAGAAAATGTACAGTTGATTACATGCAGAAAAGGACCTGTTCTCTTACCAGTTTTATTCACTTGCCCAATTGTGGACTTACTAGAAGATGCTGTGTGGGACTATAGAAATGCTTTCTTGACTTCTGTAGTGAGAGGTGGGTTTCCCCCCCCCCCAATAATCACCTTACATAGAAATGATTGGGGATGCAGTAGTTAGATGACTGATTGACAGGTGTGTTCTGGTGTGGATATCTGAGCCTGTGTTTCACAGGGTAGTTGTGGAAATAAAGGGAAATTTCCAGATAACTCATCTTGAGCTCTTGAAGAAGAGGTGTGATAGCGATCTTACCAATCAGTAATATTTTATACAGAAAATTCATTTAAGATAATCCCTGCCTACCTCGGGATTACAGAAAAAAACCCCTTTGCTGCCATTATTGAATTATCAGCAAATCTAGACCTTTCCTGCTATTTTAAAGTTGGAATTTCTTACAATTTTTTTTATATTGAAAAAAAATAAGTTACCAATAACTTGAGACTTTACCCGTGCCAACTTGAAGTCATTACTTGTGGTTGGACCCATCAGTGTTTGTCTGTCTACCCATGGAATGTTCCTTAATATCTGTGATTTATTTTGGAATTAGTTTCTGTGTGATTCCACTAATGCTAGAAAGTGAAAATAAGTATCTTATCAAGGGACTGGCTAATACATTGATTAAATAAATAAATTTATGCACCTGCCAGATTTATCTTCTGGAGACTTTGAGAATCAAAAGAATGGGTGGGTGGAGGTCACTGTTTTCGTTTACATTTTCCCCATCTATAAGGTATGAGAAGCGATGTTGAGGATTATGGCAGAAAAATGGGAGTTGCTGGAGAATTATTTGAAAGAGGGACCTAAAAAAACTGTAGTTAATACTCTAAGTCTTTGGGAGAACAATGGGAGCATTTAGGTGGAATGCAGAAGATAAGTTTGCAGTGTTAAATGAAGCCTCTAAATTGTTAATTTTGAACGAGAGAAGGAAGAAAGTATTAATTGTATAGATATTACTTATAATAAATATACTAAATATATATATTCATGCACTACGTATAATTAAGTCAGTTGAAATAGAATGTCAGTTTTAGTTAAGTGTCCATCCTTGACCCAACCAACACTTTGGAATATGGCTGTGGGAATAATTCTTACTTGAAGTTTCTAGCTTAGAGAGATTGGGAGGAAATGTCATTGTTTTAGATAATGTGTCAACAGCTGAATTGAGATAGATTTTACAATTAATGAATTGTTGATCTTGTGTGCTTAGAATACTGGTTGGCTGAGAAGATTTGGAAAGGGTGATTCTGTATGAAAGAACTCTTGATTTCAAATGAATGATTTGTGTTTTGTGTCTCAGTCCTAGCTTTTCCCATGTGGTCAAATCTTGGACAAGCCTTTTGCCTTATCCTCAACAACTTTCTAGCAATGTAATGATTATTTATGATTAATTGCATTCTGCCACAACTAGTTATCACCTTTGATTAACATGAAAAGATTCTGAAAATGTGAGAAAGAATATTCAGAGGAACAAATGCTACTTTAGATTTTAGACACTTTACTCAGGAATAATTGATTATTGACCTTGAAAGCATAAAGATGCATCACTTTGAAGAAAGCTTAACCTGCTGAATTATAGAAGATAATGTTTATCTTTTATTTGAAATATTAACTTTTAAGATAAGTCAGCATTATTTTTGAAATAGATTGTTTGAAGCTAAGTGTAATGTAATCTAAGAAATAATTGTAAGATACTGTATGGTGTAAAATGTGTGCTCATCATGCTATTCCAATATTTCATAATTCACAGAACAGAAATTATATTACAGATGAACAGGGAACCAGCCTATGTATATTTAATAACTTTTAAAAGTTCTGTTTCCAATATTATATGACTTTATGACAGCTCCTCTTGAGTGCCACAGGTACAGAAAGATGAACTTTAAATATTTTGGATAAAATATTTAGAAGCATTGTTTTCAGATCAGCTCATCTTTGTATGTATATCCACTTGACAGAATTTTAGGAACTGGAATACTTTGTTAAAATACTGTATCTGGCAGTTCACTGTGTATTTCGACACTCAAATGAATTAGGAAATTCCCAGAATATTTATATAATGAACACTTGAGGAAAAGAAAAGCAGCCTTTGTAGAGAAACTATCAATGGAGAGATATTTTTTATTCATGCAGAATCCTAAGTTTTCTTTTTTTTTAAACCCATCTGAGCAGAGTTGCATTTGGTATCATCAATGAGGGAAAACCCGCTTTAGTCACACATGGCTCAGTAAGTGAGCCAGATTTCCATTTTATGTTGCAGATTAGAGCAAGAAAATTGGCTGATTGCTCAAAAAGATCCAACTTTAAATGAATAAATGACTCAGTGCACTAAAATTTATGATCTAGTATAATGTATTGATGGAAGATAAGAGTTTGGAGACTGTCACAAGGATTAGTATTAGAAAGACAGGACGATTGTTTTGGAGGATTTTAAAGAATCAAAGTGGCCTTAAGGCCCCTGAATAACTATAGGCTCTATTGTGAAGCTACAGAAAGGATGATTGTAGATTGTCATAGGAAGGTAGAGATGAGATTTGCATACTGCATTAACTCAAATTGTTTTAACTCTCATTTATTGAATGTACACAATTAGCTGAGTTTACTCACCACATTTCAAATATTTTAGCCACCAAATGAGAAGAGAGGACTCATTGGAAAAGACCCTGATGTTGGGAAATTAAAGCAAAAGGAGAAGGGGAAGGCAGAGGAAGAGATGGTTAAATAGGTCATTGATACAATGAACATGAATTAGAGCAAACTCCGGGAGACTGGAGGAGAGGAGGGCCTGGCGTGCTGTTGGGGGTTGGCAAGAGCCAGACACAACTTAGTGACTGAACAACAACACATTAAACCAAAAAAAGAAGCTAGCCACCTTAGGGCTTAATGTGATGGATGAATCCAAAGTTGAGCAGGTGCAAATAGAGAACTAAGATTTGGCATTTGTAACAAATTATTGAGATTGAATTCCAAAATTGTTGCAATTTGTAGCTGGCTGATGTGGATTTTTGTATATGAGGAGGCTGTAAAGTAGAGAAGCTTTACTAAATAAAACAGGTTTGTGAGAGTTTATGTAAAGTGAAGAGTCCAAAGTGATTTGGATATTTTTAACTCACTGACCCTACATGGTAGTGAATTCTAGGTCTTATAGTCCAACAATCTCATGCTGTTGATCACGTCACCAAATGCAAAAGTGTGTCATGTAGGTCAGGGGTTCCCAACTCCATGGTCCAGTACCGGTCCGCAGCATGCTAGAAAGTGGTCTGTGCAAACAAACAAAGCCCCATCCATGGGATGCAGGCAGCACACGAAACAACACTCTCTTTGGTCAGTGGAAAAACCTCTCTCCACAGAACCGGTCCCTGATGCCCAAAAGTTTGGGGCTGCTGATTTAGGTTTGCCTTTGCTGTACATCCCTTGGATAAAATAAATGAATGGGACAGGTTTTAAAATTATTATATAAAGTCTATTAAAATCTGTTAAGGGAAAGCATCTTCTAAACATTTAGGATTACAGCTCTTATAACTCCTGATGACTACTTTCCCTATTGGTTGAAACTTTTCAGAGATGAAATATCAAACATTTTGGAAAAAAAATTGCAAACAGGCAATCAAACTACTTACACCAATCTTGTAACATAGCTTCTTCCTTTTTAAAAGAAAAAAAAATGTATATTTATAATGTCATATTATACAAAAATGATTTGCAGGATTAGATCAGTACAGAATGATGAGTTATACTGGGACCAAATTTCACAGCTTAAATAGATAGAAAATTATGTAAGAACTAATATCAGGAATAGGCTACACTTTTGTTCTTTACTAGGAAAAAGTGCAGGTAATTTGATTTGAATCAGAACCCTAATTGTTATAAAGAAAAGTTTAACATATTGGT